AGGGGCAGGAGGAGGGAACTTGGGGACGGTCCAGGAGGCGAGTGCCTCTGGCCACTTAGTAGACAGTGGAGGCTTTCAGACTCTAAAGCTCTCCACTGGCAGCTTCCAGAAACCAGACCCTTCCCTTCTCACCCTGTCCAGGGTGTGAACCCAGCAGGCTTGCCTGAAGGGGCTGGGGGCCACATCTGACCCCACCTGGCTGGAGCAGGCCGTGTGTCTCTGCCACCTGGACGTTGGCAGCCTCGTGTTTGGGCACCGTGGTGCCACAACATGGGCAGGAGGCAGGCTGATGCTCCCCAGTCAGCCTTGGCGTCCCAGGTACCCCCCCTAACAGGCTCATCCTCACCACCCTGAAAGGACGACATTCCTTCTACTTTGCTGATGAGAAAATGGTTTCCTCCTTCACTTCTATCTCCTGGGAGAGCTTGGATGAATGATTTCACCTCCCCATCTGTCTATGCCTCAGTTTCCTCAGCTGTAAGCCAGGCCTAACACCTCACAGGATCCTCGTAGCCGTCATGAGGAGGAGCTGCTCAGAGAGGTTCCCTGACCTGCCAAGGGACACGCAGCAGGGAACAGGACTGTACCACAGGCTTGCCTGACTCCAAGCCTGGGCCCTTCCCCAGGCCACTTCCACGGGCTCCTGCTCCCTCAGCGTCTTCTCCTCTCCCCGAGAGAGGAAGCTCTGCTACCTGGGACAGAGAGATGGTGTTGTGCCTGAGGATGGGCGAGGGTGGGCATGGTGCTCGTCTTCTGTCCAGCCTGAAGCAAGCCCCAGGAAAGAGGGGGCGCAGCACAGAGCCCACAGCACTGGTTTATATTCTACCCAGCTCCTGGCCTGTGTGCTCCTTCCCTCCCCAACCTCTTTCTCCTCCCTGGGGGTGGGGCGTGGTGGTGGCAGCCAGTGAGGAGAGGAAGCAGGCCACTGCTTGCCCTGCATTGCCCTCCTGGCCACACAGAAGCCTGAAGACGAGAAGTGGAGCCTGCAGCCTAGGGAGACCGGCAGCCATCAGTGAGGAGTGCAGGGGGAGCTGAGGAACACCCTCCGCACTGCCGTGGGGTGCGCAGCAGGGGAGGGGAGCGGGTGGTGCCTCAGACACCCCAGAGCAGCCCACCAACAGAGCCCCTCTTGGCTTCGCCTCTGTTTCTCCAGGCAAGCAATTCTGTGTCTGACTCCGCCAGTTGCTATGGAAACCATGAGGACAGGAACAGGAGGGGACAGGAGGATGGGTGGGCAGGAACCAGGCAGCCACCACTACTACAGCACATGCCCCTGGCCCCTGTGGCCTAGGCCCCGGCAGGGTGGAGAGTACGGCAGGGAAAGCCCTCCAGCCCGTCTGCAGGTACCAAATGTGGTCTTGGCCCAGGGGTTGTAGCAGCTGCCCAGCCAGGGCCAGCCCACATGGGCAGCAGCATTCAGGATCACTGGCTCAGGCATACATCACAGGAGCATCCAATGTCATCCCAGCGACCACAATAGCCACAGCTAGCTCTCCCTGCACCAATGCCAGGTACAGGACCAACTCACATCTCGTCAGCCCTCTGATTAACCCCACTTCACAGATGAGGGAACTGAGGCTCAGAAAGATTAAGTCCCTTGCCCAGGACACACAGCAGCTGAGTGGTAGCTCGGCCCTGGCACCCTGTTCTCAACACAGGAGCCAGCATTTATGAGGGATTAACTAGGTCCCTTCCTGCCCCTCGTGCTTTGAAGCTGGCCCATGTGCCCGATGAAACAGCTGTGGCCTGACGGCTCCCAGGGGCATGGAAGCCTCTGGATTTGGTGAGTCAGCTGCTGCCAGAAGTCGCTCACGTGTGTCAGGGACAACAAACACGAGCAGAAAGCCCCGCTTGACGCCCATGCTCCCGATCCTTTGTTGTCTGCTTTGCTGTGGACTTTTCCTTTCCCAGATTCAGTGGACACTACTTCAGTGCCGCCCAGATAAACGGCTCGCCCTTCATTTGAGTCTGTTTCCATCCTCAGGCAAAACACCCACTGACTTCAGCAACTTCCCCAGGCCCGACGCCTGGGAGCTGGCACGAGGCACCAGGCAGGCCTGGAAACCCTGATAAATCACCCACCTGGGCACCGTTTCTCGGGGCAGCGTTCTAATTGTACCAGCCAAATGTGCTGGGCCATCTCACTGTGCCAAAGCCACCTGCAAACAGATGGGCCCCAGATTTACTGGAGGCCTCTGGGATGTTCAGTTTGAGGGGGTATGAGATTGCTGAAGTGGGGTCTCTGTCTCTCACTGGGCAGGACAGAGCTGGAGGGCATGGATGTCAGTCCAAGGGATCAACTTTGGTGGTCACAAGTGCTCCTTTTTTTTTTTTGAGACAGGGTCTTGCTCTGCCACCCAGGCTGGAGTACAGTGGCATGATCATGGCTCACTGCAGCTTCCACCTCCCAAGCCCAAGCGATCCTCCCACCTCAGCCTCCCAAAGTGCTGAGATGACAGGCATGAACCACTGTGCCCGGCCTGCTCTGGGCATTTTAAATTCTCATCGGTCCCTGTGGGTTTACTGATCAGAGGCCACACGGGTGTGCAAAAGGTGGAAACAAGCACCAGGGAGGACATCTCCCTGGCAGGTTTGTGGGCTGTGGGGAAGGAGGATGCGCATGTCTCAGAGAGCATACCGGCCAGACCGCGGCTCATACGCAGAGAAACGGGGAGGCATGGATGGAGCTTGGAGAACGGGGCAGGCTGGCCATTCCCACTGGAGCCTGGGTGGGAGAAGAGGGGCCGGCCTGGGCCTTGCGAGGCAGGAGAAATGTATTGAGTTTTTTGTTTTATATGGTTGGTTGTTTTTTTTTTTTTTTTT